CACTCTATGTAAATATGCTCACTTATCAGTCTTTATTAGAGCCCACTCCATCCAAGCAAGTCTTGTCATCCTGCAGTGGCCATACCTCTGTGGTTATTCTGGGGACTTTCTCTGTGTGCTCCCCAGTACCATGCTGCTGTAGGTCCTGATACAGAGCAACACTGAAATGTTTGCCCCCCACAAACATCACCTAACCCCACCTAACACTGGGGTTAGGTGATATCTCAGGGTATTTTGATTTGCATTTCTCTGATAATTATGGCTATGAGCATTTTTTCATGTTTGTCAGCCATTCGTCTGTCTTCTTTAGAGAAGGTTCCAATCATATACAAAGGCTACAGATTTTGATTTTATGTCATGAGACATTCCTGTATTTTTGGATCACTTCCAGGAGTCTTGTGGTTGAGTGTTTGGGGTTCTCTAAGATTGTATCATTGGCAAAGAGCAAGAGTTTGACCTTCTCTGCCCCCATTTGGATGGCCTTTATTTCCTTCTTTTGACTATATTAGTTAGAACTTCCAGCACTATGTTGCATAGTAGTGGCAATAGAGGACAACCTTGTCTGGTTCCAGTTATAAGTGGAAAAGCTTTCAGTTTTACTCCATTCAGAATATTAGCTGTGGGTTTGTCATAGATGGTGTCAATCAGATTAAGAAATGTGCCACCTATGCCTAAATTCTTAAGTGTTCTAATTAGAAAAGGATGTTGAATTTTATTGAATGCTTTTTCTCCATCTATTGAGAGGATCATATGGTCTTTGTTTTTGCTTCTGTTGATTTGGTAAATTACTTTATGGGCTTGTGTATGTTAAATCAGCCATGCATCCCTGGGATGAAACCTACTTCAGTGTGATGAATGATGTTTTATTGTGTAGCTGTAATTTTCTGGCCAGGATTTTATTAGGAATTTTTGCATCTATATTCATTAGTGAAGTTGGTCTGAAATTGACCTTTTTATTTGGGTCGCTTTCTGGTTTTGGTATCAGGGTGATGCTTGCTTCATAGAATGAGTTGGGGAAGATTCCTTCCTTCTCAATTTTTTGGAATAATTTCTGCAGTATTGGTATAAGCTCTTCTTTGAAGATTTGATAGAATTCTAGTATAAAGTCACCAGGACCAGGGCTTTTATTTGTTTGGAGATTTTTTAAATTGTTTCTTTGATCTCAGTTCTTGAAATTGGTCTGTTCAAGAGATTTATTTCTTGTTGATTAAGTCTAGGCATATACAAAGGCTATTCCAGGTATTGATCCATTTCTTCCACATTGTCAAATTTTTGAGAATAGATTTTCTTGTAGTACTCA